GAATCAATCAATAAACCCACAGGCAAAAGGAGATACAACCCAATCTGAACAGCACTCGTGACATGATCTCCTCCAATGCCCTCATTTTAGAATTTTCCTGTTTTTGCACCAGATTCCATACAAACACACATATATAAAATTTTCTTTACTGCTTCAACCTGAATCCTTAAGTATTTTTATGTCTTTCTCTATTTACTGAACTCAAAATCAAAAGATGCCATAATCAGTTCCAGCAGGACAAGCACAGAGTCAACACCTCTGAATTAGTATTTAACTGGAAGAAATAACAACGGTTAAAATAGTTCTTGGCCGTGTTGTTTAGCTGTTGTTGGGTTGCAAATGCTCATGGTGACACATCAGGAAGGCAGTGTTTCTATCTCTGTGAACTGCACTGGCTCCAGCTTCACCCACTGCTCTGTCGTGGCCTGGCAGCCTGTCCGGCCCTGTCTGTCTGTCACCCTGCCATCCCAGCCTGCCTGCCACATCCCCAAAGCCCACTTGGTGAGCTGTGCCCCAGGATCACTACTGGCAACTACAGGCTTTATCCCCAGACATTCCTCACTTTCTCAGACTCTTCTGTCAGTCTGTCACAATTGACTTTGTTTCCGGTCATCATCACGTTTGCTGTTTCTTGTTCAGCCTTCCTTACCCCAACAATTTCGATACAGAGCAAAGCCCATCTTTATTCTCTCAAGTCTCTGTCCCAACACACACTGCAATCCTTGGCGATTAATCAGATCCTCCTCTTACATCCTCAGAAGGTCCTTCAGAACAGCAGTGCCTGATAAGATCAAGTCTGATCAGAAAATGGATTGTCTGGAGACTTCATCTCCTCCCCAGTCCCTAGGTCAGCCCTCCTCTCCAAGGCTGAGTCCATTTCGCACGTTTTCAAGCCATTATGCTATCTCTCCCTTTTATCTTACAATCATTTTCTCTTACCCTTCCTAGACACATGTAAACTTCTCCTTTTATTGCATATACCACGCCAATGTCATGATGTGACCACATCACTCATTTATCAGCAAAGCATGAAGGCATATTTGTTTGGGTATGTCTCTTTTAGTAAATTTCCAGGTGCTTAATGATTTTTGCTTTCATCAGAGCATTCATGCAGAACTGCTCCATGGCTATTCTCTTCAGTTTCTCTATAACATACAGTGGTCATCTGTTCTCTGAAATATAGAAGGGAATCACTTTGTAAAAAGGGAATCTTTTACATCACACAACATCCTTTGTCTAATCCTTAGCTTTAGTTTCTTGAGTTTTCTTCTTCATTTTTCCTCAGTTAATTTGGCTGCTGCTGTCAGCTCCTGACTAAACAAATAACTTTACAGAAAAGGAATAGCATTTCGTACATTCTAGCTATCTATTTTATGAAATGATGAAGAAGTAAGCCCAGCACACAGCTTTCTAGCTTTCCTAAATTCCTTTATTTACTAATGAACACGCTTGTAACGAGGGCCTTCAGGATAACGCACCAAAAGGAAAAGTATAATACAGCAACACAACAAACTTCCAAGTCACATGTGGCAGAGGTCAGAAGCAAGGGAAAATGAGTATTATATGTTATCTGTTTTATGTCCTGTGACAAGGGAAGTGTCTCTTTTGTGATAGCTTTTTATCAACAAAAGCAAACGTAAGACTTTTTGGAAGCTTTGCTAGAAACGCTCTGCCTTTCTATTATTAATGAAAAAAGAAAGGAGGAAGAAGGCAGAGTAAAAGACCCTTAATTAATACTGAAACATAGAGTAAAATGTTCTTCATCTTTAATGATCTGGTTACAGTAACAGCTGTGTGTTTCAGTTCTGCAGGAACTCAGTCAAGGGTTCTTATCTGGCACAGTTTGGCTTATGAAGAAAGACGAAGTTAAGAGGAAATACAAGTAGAAAGCTGTAATTGAATGTAACTAATAAGCAAAGGAACTTGGAAATGCCCCAGGTGGAGGAGTAAGCACAGCATTTTAATACTAACATATAAATATTCTGAATAGACTACAGTCTACAGAGGAAATGTTTGGGGTTTTTAAATGTGGAATGTGTATTTACAATGCTAGGTAGAACAGATAAATGAAAAATACACCACCTCAAGTAATATCCCATAGGAATTTTGAAATGTGGTGTGTGCATTAGTAACCCAGCAAAGTAGTTTGTTCATACCACGTATTCCAAAAGAGGAATTTCATCTCTAGTAAGAGACAGATCTCAATAAGATAATCAGAATCAGCCCACAGGATAACAGGGTACAGAAATAAGTGTTCAGGCAGCACCACTACAGCTGCCTTTTATGCAAAGGGTGTGACTTATCTCCAACAATAGGGAACAACCCCAAAGGGAAAAAAAAATACCAGCCAACACATAACCTCACAACTCTCTGTGCTGAGAGATGTGGGCTGCTGCACATAGGGAGAATTTGTTTGGTTCCATAGCTGCATTACAGCAAGAGAACATTATTCTGCCTATTGTATCAAATCAAAAGACAGTCATTATTCCATGTATAGCTGGAGCCTGACCTTTGGATGGATTTTTATTGAATAAGTGTAGAGTAGACTCAGCCAAACTGAATTTCTGAGCAGTACAATAAACTTCTCATAAAACAGAATGGTTTTCTTGGTCAAAGGAATTTACGCCAGGATTTTTCTGAGAAAACACTGCGGCAGCAATCTTCCATCCTTCTAGAAACATTTTGTTCTGTGAGAATATCCTTTACTTAAACTAGATGTGAGAATGTGTAATGGTTTGCCCTTGGATTTTAGATTATTCTTTCTTACCAGTACTTTGACAAAAAAACTGCTCTACCAAAAGAAAAAGAATGGTACGTGCCAATGGCAATGTCGCTGATGTCACTCATTCTGATAGAACTACTTGAATTTCTTAAGATATATTTCATTAAAAAAGTAAACTTCTTGGCATTGACTGCGTTATAAAGTCAGCAATAAGGTTTACATAAGGGTTAGCTCACATTACACTCTGAACATACTATTCACCAATATTCCTTCTGCAGAACTACTCCCACCGGAAATGACAATGAATTTGTAAAGGATGTATGCAGGATTAACGTGATCTAAAAGGATTCTCAGTAGGCAGAGACTGAAACAAGCATGGCCTAAAACGCAAGAAGTCTGACATGTAAATTACTAACGAGCTTCAGGCGGTGTTCTATGGAGCTAGAAGTTTTATAACCTGCAGGTCATGAAAGTTTCTCAAAATGTTACCTGCATCTTGACTGGCTATCTCATCATCTACCTTAAAGGATCTCCAAGTTTTCCTCCACTTTCTGCCCTCCTAAATCACTTTCAGAAGTCATAGGTGCTAGAGATACTAGAAAGGAGACAGGATGTGAATATTCAGTGCTACTGTGACCAAGCTAGGGACCAACATTTTCACTTGCTCTCTGACTCTAACTGCACTGCTGCAGGGAAGTGTTGGAGCACACCAGTTTCAGTCTTCCTGCAGATACTGCTATCCATGTGACTTCAGCATAGGACCACAAAGCTGATTTGATTTCTGCTAATACTGTTAACATTACCAAGTAACATTTTACAATTCTCTAAACCCAACCCTAATTCGGGAGCAAGTCTGAAACCAGTCTCTTTTCTGCCTATTATAAAAAACTGTTCCAGTCACTCCTGCAAACTTGCTTGTTCCCTATCTGACAGAATTGAAAACAAGATTAAACTCTGACTTTTCTTAGCACACTGAACAAAATTCATATTTGTAGGATATTTTTAAGCTAACTTCCATAGATAGAAAATCAAGTATTACACGTGCATTTTATATGCAACAATGTAAGCAGACACCAGCACAACAAATACGTTCTGAATTTTGTCAGGAGGCAACTAAACAGGCATTCAGAACAGCTTGTGCATGGGTTTATACTTCCTGTAAATGTTTTAAGGACTCTACATACATGCTCAACAATGGTAATTTTAAGATGTTTATTTTCTGCATTCACTGTGCTAATATTTTATACCCCAATAGGAAATAATCAAGCATAGTAAGCCACTTCTAATTGTTATGCTGAGATAATAATCCAAACAATTTTGAGGAGAAAAATAATAAAAGCAACTGATGAAGTCAGAGGAACAGTACTGTAGAGCAGATCATCAACAAGCCATGTAGCACATTGCCTTCACTGGCCATAACCCCTACATTCCTGGCAGTCATAACAATGGAATTGCTTATGTGTAGCCTCACCAATTTATCCTTTATTCCACTGAATTTTGCAATGCAGCAGTTTTTCTACAGCAATTAAAAGCTGCCCACTGACAATAAAAATATTTAAATCCATACTATGTAGTCTGTAAAAGCTGGTTGGATACTGGTAATCACTGCACTACAACCTCCTAAACAGGAAAAGAATTGATCTGCATTCCTTACAGACTAAACAAAAGCAGTTTAGTTTTCTCTAATAGTATTTCAGGATCATGGCAGAAGCTACGGACACAAAAATAGATGATTACAAATCTTAAAAGTGGTAAAAAGAAACAAGTCTGCATTTGATCTTTCAACACACAATTAAGAAAAATGTTAAAGAATTGGGAGTAATGAAATGTGGCATACCAGAAATTGGAGGGACAATCTGTTCTGATGTCATATCTCACCTCTTTACAAATGCAACCTGTCAAATTGACATGAAATCCCTCCACTTCCTGGGGAATCCACCAACAAAAGATAAAACAATCTGACTTGACGAAAACAAAAAGGGACTGTGTTTTTCATGAGTATACAACTGTAATCCCAGACTTGTGAGATGTAAACAGTCTTCACATAATGTGACAGGAACTTCACCTTCTTGCAAGGTAGGGAACTTCAAGCAGAATCTTAATATATATCAATGAATGGTTTGAGCCCTTAATCAAAAGAGTGTAGGCAAAGAGGACAAGTACCATAATCAGCTATCTACTCAGAACACAGTTTTCAAAACACATGACTTTCTTTCACGTAACAAGGATTAAAAATGGAGAGAAATGACAAAGAATGATGCACTGCACTGGCACTTACATTTCCCAAATGTCCTCCGGTAGGTTAGCTGGAATTTCTGTTAAGCCCCTTCCTCGACAATCCACCACATTGTTGCTGCAGGTGCAGGCAGATGGGCAAGTGATGGAACTGGCACTGCATGATGGTGGTTCAGACTGGGAACCTGTGACATAACGAAATCATTACATGCTAGTTTTGAAAAATGATTGCCTGAGATTTTGACAATAAACTACATCAGCCTCCAAGTTTTCCAGATCCTTCTATCATATTAAGTAATGATGTATTTGGATTCAGTGAATATAATTTGCTATAAATTAACTGTCGAGAAAATATATAAAAGGTTACTGTGTTCTTCTTCCTCGGTCTCTATACAATCTGTTTTTCTTCCCAGACAATTCTTTGGTTCCCTCTACAATCAACCAAATTAATTTATTCAAAGATTTAGAAAATAAGCCTGAAGATCAAGGAGCATCTCCAAAAGTTGTCTCTGCCTAGAAGTTTCCACTACACCAACTTTTACATAGTGAGAGAAGAATGTCATCAACAATTACTTCTGTTTTTGAAATGATGTGAGCTGTTACGGATCAAAGACTAGACATAGAAAGCTAGTTTTCTCAAGATAAGACAACACAGATAATGGAAACACACAGAGAATTACAAAACATAAGTTCTACACTTCATATCCCTGCTCAATCTAATAATTTCTTGGAAAGATAAGAAACTGGAAAGCAAATGTTTAACACGAGGATATTGTTCTATATACATTCTGATCAGTTCATTAGATTCAAGTTTAATTGTCAATAACATTTTTAAAACTGTAGCAATAATACCAATTTTTTTGTGTTTATGATTCTTACATCTAAAATTTTTTAAATTTTAATATACACACACACAAAGAAGAAGCTTTTGCCACACTAATTAATTTTATCAAGATGAAACAGTTGCTGATGTAATTATGGTAAGTTACACTTCCAAGCTGCATATAACAAAAGAAACCTCAAGTGTCTTTTCGAGCTGTGACCAGACAGAGAGGACTGAATACAAATGCTTGTGGTGATGAGATGTGACAAAATGCTATGAGAAATCAGAAAAACTGGTACTTTCCTAGATTATGTAGATTATAATCACCCTAACCGTGGTATCACAAATAATGTGAAAACATGGCAAGCTCCACGCAGTGCCTGGGGTTCGTCTTGGAAAAGGCACATGACGGACACTTTCATAAAATGTAACTACAGGGTATATTATTATGTCAATTAAAATATTTTATGTACGCATACACATTGCAACATTCTTACAAACTCTGTTGATTTATGCCTAAATACCCTCTGGTTTACCCCTTAATTGTGCACAGCAAAGTCAACTCATTGTAAAGCAAATGTATGTATGCATATATTTGTCAAAATCTGAATAAGACATAAACATCTGATAAGTAGCCAAGATATTTGGAAAACATAATATGTAAGAACTGCTTCTGAAGAGTGGCAGCTAGAAGGCTTTTTGCACCTGGGGAAGAACAAGATCTTATAACACTGCTGGCTCAGATGCTGCTGGCAGACTATCTACCATTTTCTGAAATGCTGCTTGTGACAATACCAGAAGCAAAGCTGGTCCCAACGTGTGTTCCTGGAAGAGCAAGAAGCCCCAGGCAGCCCGGTCCAGGGGGTAGCAACCTTGCCCACAGCAATGGGTTGGAACTAGATGAGCTTTAAGGTCCTTTCCAGCTAAGGCATTCTGTGATTTCAATTTTGTAAGAAATGTTGCAGAATTGTGGTACTGTGTTTGAAATTTCTTTTTAATGTATCATCAGTGGACTCACAGTCAGGACAGCAAAAGAAAAGTTAAGTTTCAAAGCGCTGTATGTTTTAAATATACCTTTTTTCTGATGCTAATCAGAGCTGTGAGTGACTCTTGTTTGGCAAACCAGCCCTCAGAACTCCAGTTCAGGAGTCTAAAAATTGGATTTTCAATGGTAGTGACCATCTTAAAAAAAATGAATGTCAGAGTACACCTGTGGTATGGGCACGAGTCACATTCATCCTCCATGAGAGTGGAGCTTTCATCATGATGCCTTCTCTTTGCTAAAATACCCTGCTGCACTCACAATCCACTTTCCAACTTTTCTGACAGCTACAGATAAGCAGTTTACAAGCAACAGCCTTTATCTCAACACACAGATGGTTTGAATTCTAGAACAGCTTCACCCTGCAGAACCAGTTGGGCAAAAACAGAGTATAAAAATAATTCAGTAGTGTAATTAAAATCTAAATTCTAGTGCATATGCTCAAGGAATCAACTTCATATTTTTTATCAGACAACCTGAACACTGACAAGTTTCAGTTCCAAAATCTTAACAGACACTGTCTTAACACGGTCCAAATATGTGAGCATGTGTGTAATACAGTGCTTAAGTTCTAGCTACTTGAATTAAAAAAATCCCTAAGCTTCACTAGTTAAAAACATACATGTAGAGCAGACAAGACAAGCAGCTCTACTGGGCCTGTCTTCTGGCCATAAAAATGCAGGGCAGACATATCATCATTGTGAATTAATAGAATTCCTTCAAAAATTAATGGAGCTCTGCTGCATATCACCAAAAGCACTGCCAGCTCTGCCTTTCACCATGTCCAAGGTTTCTGTAAGATTTTAACTGTGAATGCTTCCAGAAGTGGATTACAGCATTTCAGAATGCACACCAGCCTCTGCTATCCCCACATAGGAACAGGAGGTCTGCTTTTACAACCTCACCACACAATTTTTACTTGTTTTCTTTGTCTGTCTACACTGTGGTGTGATGTCCAAAACAAAAGGAACAATGAAAAGTGCAAACAAAACACATCAAGCCTTTCCAGACTGGGAGAAATGCTCAGAGTAGGAACACTTCAGAACAACCCTCGCTCTCCAGAAGGCAAAAGGAAAATTGGCAGCAAGGTCAAGTCTTCTACACAACTTCTATCACACACAATGGCTATGCTTGCTGAAGAGATTAGTAAAGAGGAAAAGGCATTTTGCAGTTATACCACTACAACATACTGCTGCGGGTTACATAAGCTTTAATAAACTCCCTTTTCATCAGGGCACAATGTCAAGAAAACCCTGAATTACTGCCAGTTGGAGTTTTAAGAGACTGTTCCCAACTCTGCTGTATTTAAATCAGTATCTAGTACAAGACTTAGTGGAGCTCAGCTCATCACCTCCACATTTTGTGCACCACGGTACTGCCGAGCGCTGTGTACTAATGGAACACTTTGAAAGGAGGTTATTATATTAGATGCTCTGAAAAGCATGACAAAACAACAGAAAAACCAATCTTCCTTACACAGAAAACAAGTAGCATCAGTGACAAGGCGCTAATGAACGTCCCATTACAGTATCTCAGAACTTTCCAGACAATATTTGAATGGAAAGGTGGTAAGCTAAGCTATTTGTGCTGGCTGCTGCACCTTCCACATCCTCTCCAAAGAAGGACCTGACACATCGCTGACTGAAGCCATTGGGAGTCCTTTAATTTATCCTGCATTTGGAGTAAGAGCATTTACTTCTGCTTTTCCACTAGGAAAGAGGAACTGCGTTGTGAACAAAATTCTGATCTTGGGCTACTGTGTAAAACCAAACCAAACCAAAAGCAAAGCCACCAATTAGTTAGCCATAGAGATACACTGAGCCAAAAGAAAGACAGAAAGCCATATAACAAGTTTATTCCTAGTGCATGTGGAGCTGAAATTGGATGGTAAAATAGCACTGGAGATGTATAATGTTACAGGATCTAACTTCTGCTGAAAAAAGTGAAGCAAAAAGTGAAGAAAGGCTGTGTTTATGTGGCTCTATTTCCCACATATAATGAGTGATTCCTTTTATTCATTTATTTATCTATTTACACTTTACTTTAAAAAGCATGGAAAAATGACTGTTTTTATAAACTTAATTTCTTATCATAAACCTGAATTCTTGGAGAGCCCTAAAATATCCAGTGCTCCTGTCACTGCTCACTGACATTTTATGCTCAATGTAAAAATACTTTGATCCATACTGAATGCAACCCTGTACTGTCAGTGAAATTCCTCCTTCACAAGCAAAAATACATCTACATTGTAGACTTCTGAACATTTTAGCAGAATAAAAAGTCTTTATGAACAAACTGTCAATTTGTAGCATCCAATGGTTTTATTAATGTTTTCCTTTTGCAAAGGGCAAAATACGTATTATGGATGCACACTGAGCAGGGATCTAGCACCTATTACATCAGCTTTTACTAAATCATGAAGCTGATAAAGAAAAGGTCTCTTTAATAATGTTGTAAACAGTATTTAGTATTTTATTTAGCTGATTCCATTAAATTAGGATCTTGGCTTAGCTACACAGTAGATCTATAGAATTAAAGCACCAAAAAATCTAAGAGAGTTTAATTAGTTTAATGTTTGCATACGCGTAGAGAGATGGTGAAAAACAAGTCTATGTAGGCTATGGAGTTTGAACTTCAGAAAATCAAAATTTGGATTTGAATTCCATAGCTACTAGAGAATGAGAATAATGACGTATTGAGGACCCCAATGTAATAAGAAGAATATCTGAAATCTAAAAATGCATTTTCTTTTTGCTGCCAATACTTCCTGGAAAGAAAAGACCTGGGAAAATCATAAGTATTTCAGGATTCCTGTTTGTGTTCTTCACAGCTGTGGTGGAAACAGCAATGGACAAATCAGCTGCATTTATGCCATCTCCTTCCCAAAGGTCTTGCTGTCACCTTATCATTTCAGATTTTTGTTTCTCAGTTTCACACAAGCACTAATTCAGCATCTTAGCTATATTTTTCTCTAATTCTTAAAAATCATCAACACAATTATACATGTTGTTATACAAAAGTTACCCAATCAGAATATGGAAGCCAGAATAGGAACCCCATCAACAAAACTATGCTTTTTGTGCTTGATATAATGGATGGCAGTCTCCATGAGTAGGGTAGTTGATATTTGGCATTTCATCAGCCTGCAATGCTTTACGTTACAGTTTCATACTTCAGGTTAGAGAGAGAGCAGAGATGGGGAGAGGCTCAGAACTCTGCCGTTTATGGAGGAATTAAGTGCTCTTTTCAAATAAGTGTCTCATTGGCCTCTAGCCTTTTAAGAGCAGCAAACAGACTGATATTACAATTAGCACAGAATG